TTACAGTGTACGAGCAGGAAAGCAGATGTATTACATATTTATAGCTTGTTAAATTTTCAAGAACTGGAAATATGTATTTAACCAGCACCCAGATTAAGAAACAGAACATTACCAACACCCCAAAATGGACCTGCCGCTCCCTGCTGGCCACCACTCCTCCAAGGGTGACTGCTCTCTTGACTTTTAATACCATAGGTTGTTTTTGCCATTTTTAAAATGTGGTATAAGTACAGTTATACAATATGTATTCTTTTGTGCCTACTCTGTTTTCTTCTCCAAGCTCATACCTTTATTTTTCTTGCAGTGCAGTGGTTATAGCTTCCAGGACAATGTTCAATAGAAGGAAGGAGGCAAACTTCCTCGCTCTATTTCCAACCTCAGGATTTGAAATCTGTCCCTGATTTTATTTATTTACTTACTGAGGTAAAATTGTTTACAACATTGTATGTTTCAGGTGTGCAATACTATGATTTGGCGTGTGCGTGTAGCACAGTATTCTCTTATCAGTACGTTTGAGAGTTGCCTGTGTGTTTGCTCGTGGCTGGAGACGGCTCTTCCCCACATGGTTCCATTGTGGGACTAGACCGCCATTTATTTACCCATTCTACTGGCATTGGACCTCTTGGGTAGTCTCTGGCTTTGGCTAGAATGAATAGTGTTGCTGGGAACATTCTGGTACATACATGTCTTGGTGAACATAGGTATGCATTTCTGTTGAGTAGAATTGATGGCTTCTAGTAGCTCTTTCAACGTCTTCAACCGAGATGGAGTGCCTTTCATTTGTTTTTCTTGCGTACCTAGTGTGTCCCCCCAAAAAGTCACAGTCTGCTAATATCAGCATTTGGCACACGGGTGCTCTTCTTTTGTTGCTTGGTGATCCATGCAGATTTTTAACTCCAAGTCAACCAATCCTTATCATTTCAGAAAAACCTTTCCTTTTGATAGTTAATAAAAGAAAAGCCTGCTCCAGATTCTGGATGGCATGTGTGATTATTTCAGTAGCAGATCGTTTGGGAACTTTAGTTCAAGGATTGTTGAACTAATCATTCTCTCCAGAAGTCGTTGGACTAAACTAAAGAACAGCGTCTTCTGTTTTTCGAAGGTCTTCGTGCCAGTGAACATCTGGGCTTCTTGCCCTTGTTAAGTGAGGAACTGTGGGTGGGTTACCTAAGCTCTAACAAGGGACCAGCTTTCCTTATGACCAAGCTGGGCAACTATGGTTCTGGCCTTGGGGTTGCCCTGGGGTTAAAATGGGATGCCCCCCGAAGCTTCCGGCACACCAGCCCCGCAGACCTCGTCTGCGAGTCTTGGGCTCTTTGTGCTGCACCTGGCTGCCTCTACAGGGATCCGTGAAGGCTTTCCAGGGTTGAACACATCCCTCCCCGACCCCATCCCTGAAGGTAAGGCCTTGTCCTCATCACAACTGTTTACATACTGATTAGAGGAAAGGAGGGTGACCCTCCATGGGGACTTCAGAAATACTGTATTACATTGTGTCCTTCTGAAGAGACAAACTCTCTCCTTGTCTTTTCGAGTGCTAGTTTTAAAGTAATACAAAAATAATAACACTCTTAGATCAATGAAAGCTAGTATAACGCAAGGGTAAGCTTAATGAACAGGGAACAGAAGTGAGGTGTTTTGACAGACACTGATTTCCTAAGAACAGGTGCTCGCCGTGGCTAAAAATAGTGCATGTTGTCAGTGTTAGTGAAAAATGTAGTCAGAAAAAACGGAGGTTTTTTTTTCTTTCTAAAATTGGGCCTCTAGTAACTTACAGGACTTGGGGGGGGAGGGAGTTTAAAATGTGCGTTTGTAAAATCCAGGTCGGTGCGCAACTCCCAAAAGATCGTACTGGTCATACGTCCATACAGAAACGTGTTTTCTACAAAGCACCTCTTAAATGCGCTTTCCCACTTCCAGCCTTTTACACAATCCGTGAGACAAGGACGATGTGAGTCATAGGGCAGATAGATGGCAGGGGGCATCTTAAGGCCCCATGGCCACTTAAGAGCCAAGGCCAGGGCTTGCTCGCTTCTGGTGTTTGTTCACAAGGTTTGTTGTAGGCAGGAAAAATCTGGATTATGGAAGTGCAGCAGAACTGAAAATGTCCACTAATTGTCATTTGCCTCGTGATAGTGATGTTGCTTGTGAGAGGCATTGTAACAGTGGGGTTTGGTGTCGTCATCTCTGGAGTCGGGTGGAAACGGAACTACGGCTCTGCCGCTTACCTACTAGACATTCCTTAACCTTTTCTCGTCCTGCTGCCTCTTCTGTGACATCCACCTCCCGAATCAGTGCATGAACAGAACGGCACACTAGCAAAAAAAACCATTCGTCAGAGTAGGTCAAATATTAGCATATCCTCCCTCCCCTTTTGCAGGTGGTGATTGAGACTGCAGTGAGCTCTTGTAAACCAAGACTTTAATCTAGGCCTTCTCAAATCATTTCTAGTGTTTTTTCCACTAGGCTCCAGTGCTTCTATGATAAAATTGTGAATAAACCAAAATGAATGCTAATTTCTTCTCCTGGTTTAATACGCAGTTCTTGCCAAGTCGCTGTTTGGGTGTGCGAAGTGCATTTCCCTCCACAGGGAGTTCAGCTCTGAGTGGTCTACTATAGGAAAATTGATCTCGCCAGCCAGCTGGTGTCTGGCCCCGCCCCGCCGGTCGCTGCCCTCTCCTGTTCCAGCCACACCCAAATAGTTGGCCACACCCCCCTGCATTTATTGTGCTCTTACCATCTTTCGGGGCTTCGTACTCATTTTTCCAGGACCACACTTCCCGGCCCTCCACCCACTCTTGCTTCTTTGGACAGCCTCCCCGCTGCCGAGGACTCCTTGAGCTGTGGCTGTGTCTTGTGTGCGGTGCAGTGAGACACGTAGCGCTCAAGCTGAAAGCCAGCATTATGCTGGCATTTCCAAACGTCTGGGAAAGCCATCTACCTCCACCACTATTATTTACCATGTTCTGGAGGTGCTCGTCAGTGAGTTAGACAAGTATGGGATTAGATGCACAGTTTTATTTACAGATAGAGCTCTATCCTTGGAAAGCCCACGAAGCCCAGACGATAAGATAATTCAGCTTTGATGGGGGGGGGGTGTGAGAAGAGGTAGAAAGCAGCAGCTCTATGGAAAGCTGTAAACGCTGTGAAAGACTTCTTCCTGGCTGGTACCGCAGCAGTGTCCCATTGCTATAATACAGGGGTTGGTTCTGGTTCATTTAGAAAAATAAAATACTGAGACCAGCCGAGGAAATTGTGACAAATGTAGAAGAAAAACAAGAAGGGGAATTATTTAATTATGAAACTTTACCAAGTATGAAAACATCATAAAACTAGAAATCAGTTGGGTATGGGTATAGCAATTCAGTTCTAAACAGAATGATCTAAAAATAGACCTTAACATGAAAAGGAATAAATATATGATCAAGGTACTTTTTCAAATACACGGAGCAAAGATAGGTTGCTCTGTGACTAGGATTGGGAGAACTGAGTGACCATCAAGAAAATAAGTTGGGTCTCTTCCTTACTCCTTAGGTAAACCATGAGTGTGCTAAAATGAAACTGTGAGCTCTTGTCTTCTTGGAGTAGAAAAGTATCTTGTAAGCATGATACATTTGCCTACATTAAATTAAACTGTTACGTGGCAAAGTATTATAAAAGCATAAGCTAATGACAGTCCAGACAATATTTGCTACAGTGAGAAAGGGAAATTTTCATAATATGTAAAAATACACAAATCTAGCAGAAAAATGAAGAAAGGCAATGATAAGTTTTAAAAACATGATTGGTGAATATGAAATACACTAACTGGTGAGGGTGTTCAGAGAAGACAAGCATTAATCTACATTTTAGGAAGAAGTATAAATTGGCTAAACATTTTTGTAGGCATTTGGCAAAATCTACCAAAATTAAATGCAGATGTCTGGTCTAGCAGAATGACTCCCAGGAATTTATCTTCCGTGTATATGTACAAAGAGGATATTCATTGTAGCATTGTAACAGTTTAGGTGAAGTTTAGATATCCACATAAGAAGAATACTGTGATGGCAATAAACGTATTTTTCAAGGGACTGAAACAGGTATGGAACAGTGTGATATAAGGTAGGGAGAAAGGGAGGGGATGGGTAATAGTAACACGTACTATTATTTCTTAAAAGTAAGACAAGAAGCCCTGGCTGGTGTAGCTCAGTGGATTGAGCACGGGCCTGTGAACTAGAGGATTGCAGTTCGATTCCCAGTCAGGGCACATGCCTGGGTTGCGGGCAGGTTCCCTGCAGGCCAGTTCCCTGCAGGGGATGCACTAGAGGCAACCATACATTGATGTTTCTCTCCCTCTCTCCTTCCCCTCTAAAGATAAATAAATAAAATTAAAAAAAAAAAAAAAAAAAGAAAGTAAGACAAGAAACTGATCCGTGGTTGCTGGGCGGGGAACTGGGAGACCGAGGGCCAGGTGAGAGGCCTACTTTTCAGCATAGGCACCTGGAAATTAATAACTTCCTGTTATTAATTTTTTGCGGGGGGAGGGTTGTACTATAGAGTCAAGTGTCTATATTGCCTAAAAAGCATTTGGGGGGTCTTCTTTTACTTCACCTTTTGAGTATGACATTTTTTGACAAGATTTGTCAACCAAGTAGTGTTATTATTTTTCTGAATAGAGGTAATACTGTACTGTTGGAAACCGTAATTTGTTTTTGGTAGGCTTACTTATGTGCTTGATTATAGTAGAGACTAACCATGTGATTTTTTTATCAACTTGCTTAGAAATATTCGTCGCTTACTTTGTGCTGTGGCTTTTCTCTAGTTAATCTGCATACTGATGTGATTGTAACTGGTATGAACTTCCTTTCAGTTGTTTTCTTGACTGATACCGTTGGTGTCCCCTTACTAGTTCTCATCGTTGGAGAGAATGTTTTGCAAGAGTTAATTTTCTGTAGTTTAAAGGAAAAAAAATTAAGCAGACTTAGAGAAACTAACGGCCGTGTTTATTTTGATCTGGACAGATTTGGAGACCAGTCACTGCTGCCTTTTTCTTCCCTGTGGGTCCAGGAACGGGATTTCTGTACTTGGTCAATTTGTATTTCTTGTATCAGTATTCTACACGGCTTGAAACAGGTATGTTACCCAGTCGTTTCTGTCCGATTTGCTAATCCACGTGTTTCCTCAGAGGGATTTTGAGAGCAGTTGGCATTATGATAGTCAGTACTCTTCTAGGCACTTAGAATGTTGGGTTTGAACCCTCACAGCATCATCACCAGGGGTAAGTAGCAGTGCCCTATTTCATAGGTGGAAAAAACCCAGCAAGACCAGGGGGTTGCAAGTCTTGCCCATGTCCTCAGTGGCTGTGCTGTTTGCCTTTCGCCGAGTGTGACATCTCACTCATCTCTGTCACACAGCAGTCCTTGCCCTTTAGTGCACAGTCAGGCTGAAGTATACAGATCTAGACTGAGGCTGAAAAGCCCTACCTTACGCCATAAAAAACCTAGACTTATTCTCTGTAATTGAGTCACTGAACATTAAAATATACTTGTAGAGTCAGGGTTCAGTAATATGATAGTTTATCAGGTATGATTTCCTCTGTGATGTTATGGATAAGCTTTCTTATAGAAAGCTCTTCTTACAAGGTTTCTTACTGATTGTTATTTATTTCCTACAATATCTGGCGGCTGTACTGAGTTGCTTATCCTGAAGAGCAGTAAATTGATACTGCTGTGTCAAAATGCGAACATAATGATTTTGAAAAGGCTGGTTGATTTCAGACTTTGTAAACCTGCTGGCCTTAGCTCATGATGGAGAGCTGTGAACCACCCTTAAGTCTGTCAATATGCCCGTTGCAAATCAGCCTCCTAACTGCAGGGAACTAGAAGAATGGGCATTTATGTGTCAAACATAATCTCTCCTTAAATTGGCATTTGCTACTAGGTGCTTTTTTAAAAGACAGAAACCGTTCCATTAATACAAAGTGTCAGGCTGTAGACTGTTACTCCCGGGAGGGACCTAGCTCGTTGTCTTTGTTTGGCAGAGGAAAAAGATGGAAGGAAAGTGAACTCTGCCGAGGTGAGACTCACAACGGGACCCTTAGCGTCATATCAAGGGTTCGATCCTGAAATCCACCAGAATCGATGGTTTTCCTGCTCCCTTGTCCCACTGGGACCGGTAACAATACCAACTTGCTTAGTTAGTCTACCCTGGGATGTAATTTAATTGAGGATTAAGTTGTTGGAGTAATGCTTTGTTTGGTTTGGTTTTTAATATTAGTAATAAACTCTAGAGTAAGTGTAGATGACCCACGACAAGTTCTTAAAATTTTTATTATGGAAAAATTTCAAATACTTACAAAAGTAGAGAGAAAGGTTAATTTTCTCCTGAGTAAAAGTCACGTAACATGAAACTCAATGTTTCAGCCATTTGCGAGTATGTAATTCTGGGTGTTTCTTATAAACAGAATCATATAACACATGGTCTTTGAAACTGGGACTGCCTGTTTTCACGCACTGTGGTGTTTGCAAGGTTCTTCTGTGTAGCGTATATTAGCACTTCTTTCTGTTGCCAAATACAATTCCATTGTATGGAATTAGCACTTTATGTTTCTATTTGACTCTTCAGTTTTTGGCTCTTATGTATGGGTAATGCAGCTGTGGACTTTTGTATAGAGAGGAACTTTCAAGGTCTTTCCATTTAAGTGAGATCTTGTAGACAAGGAGACACTGATCTGGAGAGGTGAGGACATATCCCACAGGTCACACAGGAGTGAGAGAGAGCACAGCTGGGGCTGGAGTCGGGTCCCCAGTCCCTGGTCCCTGCCCTACCACGGGCACGCGCTCCTGCCTGGCCGAATCATTTATATTTTTTTATTTTAACCAAGGACTGCAGTTCGAGGCCAGTTAATTTGTAAAGCCTCAGTTGCAGGCTTACCAAATAATAAGATAGTTTATTGTAGTTTATGTGATTACAGTATTTTAAATATTCAATTTAAAGACTCCTTAGAAATCACAAAGCCAAAGCCACATCAAAAGGAAGCAAAACTATCATTAAAATTCAGAAGTATTTGTTAGACTTTCCTCTCTGAAACATCAGAGGGATCCCCTACCATTAAGCATCCTTAACCCTGTGGCTGAAGTGTGCCTTTCAGGTGGCAGGGGAGAGAGAAAGGAAAAAGGAGAGACATCTGCTGGAAGTCAGTTTTTTTGTAGATCGATGTGTTTGCCTTTCTAACACTTGTCAGGGCTGTTTCCGTTGGAAGGGAGCGCAGGTAATGTCTGAGCTCGGGGGACCTCACAGCCACAGGCTCCCTTTCTCGGCCTCTTCCCCAGTCTTCCAGCCCAAGGCTGGAAGATTGTCCCTTGGTAGGGGGAGCCGGGCCCGTTGGTGACTTTTGTGCCTAGTGATGAGACAGAGCCTGGCATTCAGTGCAGTGTGACGAGAACACTAAACCGGTTATTAGACTGCACTCTGCTTCGAACAAGCCACGTGACTTTGCTCCTGAAACTTTATTCCCTCGTCTGTAACAAGGAGGTCTGGTCTTTGCAGTCTTCTACCCAGATGTAGTCTGAAGGCTAAGAGTCAGAGGCTCTGGAGAGTTTTGGCTGGTCCCCCTCCCTGCCCCCGCAGTTTTCCCTTGCTGGGTTGGAGGTTCCCGGATGGTGGGGACGGAGTCTTCTGCCAGCCCAGTGCTGGACTGAGTGCTGGGGGGTGGGGACGGACAGACATACAGAGTGTGTGTGTGTGTGGGGGGGGCGGGTAATAACAGGGAGGAGCTCCCGGCATCCTTCTGCTGCCGGAGCCACAGTGGTCGGCCAGACAGACAGGGCCCCTCCCCTGGCAGAGCTCACAGACGAGTGCAGGGAGAAGGGTTGACCACGCAATCACAGACACGTCATCGGGTCATGACGAGGGCCTCGCAGGGAAGGCTGGCAGGCCGTGGTGGCATCTCAGGACTGTGGCCAGAGTCCTCCCTGTGGGCCTTGCTCAGACGTCGGCGTCAGAGTGCGCTGCTCACCAGGGTCAGTCGGGAGGACGCGGGCCGGGCCTTCCTGGGTGGCTGCAGGTGAGGGCTCTATGTAGACATGAATTTAGACATTTTTAAAAATTTACTCTTATTTGAGAGGAGTGATTTCACAATATTCTCGTTTGGTTTCCTCCATTTTTTTAAAGTAGTTCTCTACATAGAAGTGATTCTTTTGTTCTGAACTTCTGAACTGTGACATTTATTTGGCCTGACTTTGTTTCTAGGTGCTTTTGATGGGAGGCCAGCAGACTACCTGTTCATGCTCCTCTTCAACTGGATCTGCATCGTGGTATCCTTCAGTCTGTTGTTCTGGGCCGCAGAGGAGCCAGTCTTGCTTTCCCCGAGGTTTGGGGAACAGCATTCTGTACGGCACTTCAAGTGACCGCGTTTGCACCCTCGTTTACCACAGTTGACAGCGAAGCTCTTTAAAGGCTGTGGTCAGTCGTGCAGCCCCTGAGCGGCACGTTCTCCTGCCATCACCTCTGGGATTTTCCCACATTCGGCCGAGTTTTATTGCTCTTCCCTCTTCTTGTTCCCGCTTCTCTGTGTGCTCACGCATGACAGCTTGTTGACTGCAGCACAAAGAGGCTCCAGGCCTCAGACAGCTTTTGAAATCTGTGGTCCTGAACAGAAAATTAATTTCCCAGCAGCATCTTTTTCTGACTGCATTGCTGGCCTTGTCTTGGGGTCCTAAGCAGTAAAGCAGTCCCTCCGTAAAGACCCAGCCCCGGGAAAGGACAGGGCCCATGTCTCCGCTGGGTTGTGATCACAGTTTTCAGTGGCCCTCCACAGATGATGAGAGCCGCAGAAGGGACTTGGTGGCTCAGGTCCTTGCTTTGGGGCTTCCACTGACACATGGCCAGGAGCCAGGAAATGGGGCACTTTGGGTTCCTTTCTCCTCCTTTAAGGGAAGAAAAAAAAGTGTTTTGGACTTGAGCCACGCCGTGGATCCCCGAGCCTGCAGGGTCATCATTTGTTTCAGATGCACAGGCATCTCCTGGTTCTGGCCCAAGGGGAGAGGCCGAGATGCAGAGGCCAGGCCAGGCAGGAGGACACAGGCGACCAAACTGAGTGTGTGCCGAGGCAGGCACTCTGCCCTGTCCTTGTCATCGTAGGGTCTGACAGTATTCATAATGAAGATTAGTAGGCCCCTTTGCACGCTGGGATGTTTTAAGCCGCCTGAACTGTAGAGCAGGGTGTCCCTTCAGAGCACCGGCAGGACTCGAACTTGCGCTGGGTGCAGAACGCCCTGTTTCTGTCTGATCTTTAACTGACAAACCAAGATTACTGGCTTGGCCATGGACATGCAGGTGAGTTGGGACTGTCTGTTGGCCCTTTTGTGTGTCATGTGTATAATTAAAGGCCTTACATGGAAGTTTAAATTGCATTAACTGCGGGGTTAATTATGTGGTGTTTGAAATGATAGAATTATAGGTGTTTCTATTTTGAAGACCTTACATGAGTTAGCAAAACCATTACTTTTCTAACTCATTTCTGGTTCCTTCATCATGTTTGAATGTTGAGAGTGATGGTTATTCAGTATTTTCTGTGCATGTATGAGGATATACATTTTTTAAAAATTGACAAATATACAGTAAGTAAAGCTTTATGCCTGCTTTTTTCAGATAACAGAGCTTGACCCTGATATTTATGAATCTGTCTAAAATAACATAATTGTATTCTATTTTATAGGATTTTGTAGCATAAACACTGTATGATTTATTAGAAGGATCAACTTATAACTCTAATGAGTTGAATTTCTTTTTGCTTCCTGAATGGCTGTGTGAGGATTTGTTTGGAGAGGAGAGGCAAAAAAAAAAAAAAGCCGTGGATTCACACTGAGCCTTGGTGTGAGGGTCTTGGGAGCCTCGCCTTCACGTGTTGACTTCTTTTGCAGTTGCTGATGATCCCGCTGATCATGTCAGTGCTTTATGTCTGGGCCCAGCTGAACAGAGAGATGATTGTGTCGTTTTGGTTCGGAACACGATTTAAGGTACTTGAACCTAGTTGGGAAAATTTTCATTTGTCTGCGGAAATGCCTCTTCAGCCCAGAGGTGTACTTTCTGACTCGTCCAGAAGAGGTCAGTGCAGAGCAGTCAGTATACCATAGGCAAGCCCCCTCTCTCCTGGATTTCCTCAGCAGCCCAGAGGCCTTTGCTGAGGATCACTGCTCACTGCCGCGTTGCCGGGTTGCCTCGTTGCCTCAGGCCCCTCAGCGTGTGTCCCTGAGCGATGTCACATAGGTGTGTGTGGTGGAGAGAAGGAGGGAAAGATACTCCTGTGAAACCCTCCCTTTTAAAATCCATTCTTACTACTCCCTGTTACGTGGGTTACACTTTAGCCAAAACATTGTGTCGGGGTTTTTTGTGTGCACTTCTTCAGTGCCTTCGCTCACAGTTTCCCACCTGTAACAGTTTTTCAGTATTCTTCATGCAAATCCTACCCATTCTTAATTTGAGTCGGAACGGAACATGTGTGTTTCCCGGGTCACCTGTCTGGAATTAGTCATGCCTTTTGGCTTCTGCAATATTTTGTGTTCCTTTTGCAGTACTTCTCACATCCTACCTTCAGGTTATTTACGTGCACCCCTTTCCTTACTAGTTTGTAAAGTTCCTTGTGACGCCCTGAACTCTTCAAATGATGTCTTGAACCTGTAAGGTGCTCAGCTGTTCACTTCATCTGCAGAGCTGTCTTATTTGGGAGAGAATTAATTTACAATATCAGTGTGTAAAGAGATAAAAATTCAAGTAATTTTGTGGAATGTGTAAAAGGAGAACCTAAAAAGATGGGATATTTTAATTTACTGGTAGCAGCGTGCTGGTTGGAGTCTTAATGTGATTCTATTATGGATCATATTTTTTATTATTATAGTAAATTTATTTATTTTTAGAGAGGGGGAAGGGAGGGAGAAAGAGAGGGAGAGAAACATCAATGTGTGGTTGCCTCTCACACACCCTCTACTGGGGACCTGGCCTGCAACCTAGGCATGTGCCCTGACTGGGAATTGAACCTGCGACCCTGTGGCTCACAGGCTGGCACTCAGTTCATTGAGCCACAGCAGCTAGGTCTGGACCAGGTTTTTAATAACGTAGGACACTCACCTACTTTTGGGAGCTCTTTGTTAATAGTAACTCAGCAGGACGTGTTGCGTTTGAAACCGTCAGCGCAGACCTGTGTCTCTGGTTACTGGTATGTGAAGAGGTCTGATTCTAGGTGGGAAGTTTGAAGTGCAGCAGGAGTCACTGTGGTGACCGGAGAAGTTTCTGGCTTTGCACAGGGTTCATAGAGCCTTTGGCAGTGCCCATCCTGCCCCTTCCTGCCCCTCCAGAGGTGCCCCTCTCGGGGTGGTACTCACGTGTGTGTCACTCTTTTCCAGGCCTGTTACTTACCTTGGGTTATCCTCGGATTCAACTATATCATCGGAGGCTCGTAAGTAACATTAGATTATTTATTTTTTGAGAGGGAACACTCATTAATTTGAGTTCAAAAGAGAAAAGCTGTTTGGGAAGCACTGATTCAGGCAGAAACCCAAAGAGTGTGCCCTGTTTGATTTATTTCATTGGAAACAAATCCTTGGATGGCTTCCATGCTTATTTATCTTCTTTCTCTAATTTTTATAAAATGCTAAAGAATCTCAACATTGAGGCATTGAAACCTTATACTTGCAAAATTTCATTTTCTTGTAGTTGATTAAATTGCAGGCTGGCGATACATTTTAGCATTGAATGATCGTTTTTTTTTGTTGTTAGCTCTTTAATACAATAGACTTCCACGTGTGTGTTTTTGAGTAAATATTCATTTCTGGATTCCTTCCAGACAGAGCACACGTAGGTCTAATTTGTATCTGAATGGACTCCCGTGAGCACTGTGCGTATAGTAGTAACTGTGTTATTTGGCCTCAAGGCCTTGGAAACTGCTCGCCAGTCATGGAAATACAGACTCTCAGACGGGAAGTTGTTGTGTACATGGTTGGATGGGACAGAAGTTTGGACCATCAGGGTGAATTTCTAGTCTGGAATCAGCGTGAAGACACAGGAAAACCCTGAATGCCTCCAGTCAGAATTCTAAGAGGGGGTTCCCAACATGCAACTGTTTTGAGAGCCCCCCATTTCTTATACTGCACAGTATTTTTAATGTTGAAAGGATTCTAATGGTACTAATTCTTAGTACGTCTGGTCCTAACTTCTACTGTGTATTACTGGGAAGAAACGAATGCATCAAGCGAGCAGACTCTGTTCAGAGCAGAGCCAGTTCTGAGCTTGGCGAGGCCACCCGCCACCCGAAGGGCAGCGTCTGCACTTGTTGGTTTGTCCCTGGCAGGAATCACATTGCAGCGAAGACAAGGAAGGATATGTAATGGGAAGAGTGGACGGAAAAAACCTTGAAGTGGCCTCTGTGTAAGCCATGGGAAAACCAAAGAAGGCCACTGCTTGTTGTAGGGTTACAAGGTGACGGTCACCTTTCTGAAATGATCTCCCTCCGTGACGTTTTACCCGAGGACATGGGAGGTGAGGGGGGTGCTTCCTGGCGCCAGGAATGGGGAGCGAGCCTTCAGGGCCCTCCGCTCCTTGCTCCCGTGCTTCTCTCCTGCTGGCCTGCATTCCTTGCCCATGTTTCGTAAATACATTGTTCCTGCCTGGAAGCATTCAAAAGTTTGCAGCTTTCCCAACTCTTAAGGCAGGAAGTAGCAAAAACAATATTTTGAGGCTGGGCTGGGGCTTGAAAGAGGTGTCAGAGGGGCAGCTAGCTGGCCTTGAGGAGCACTGGCCAGCGCCCTTGGTCCAGCAGGATGGTTTCCCTTCTCCCTCAGGACACATTTGCTGCGTAGACCACAGAAGGGCGTATCTTGGACCTGCCACCAAGCTGCAGGGGCCAGGGCGAGCAGCCGTGAAGGACCTGCTCCCCGCTCTAGTTAACACGGGCTGCCCCTCCACTGTGTAATGTCTGTGAACTGATTTGGTTCTGTTTGCAGGGTGATCAATGAGCTCATCGGAAATCTGGTCGGACATCTCTATTTCTTCCTCATGTTCAGATACCCGATGGACTTGGGAGGAAGAAATTTTCTGTCCACACCGCAGTTTCTGTGAGTGTCTTTTTTCCTTCTCCCATTGAACAGTCATGTTACAGCCTATGTTCTCGTGCATGCTGATGAAAAACTCCACGAGGGGTAGGGTTTACCTCTCCCTAAGAAATGGGGGCCATCTAACGAGTTGCTCTGGCCACAGAGTCGCGGGAAGCTGGGGATGGAAGCCCCACAGGACCCGTCAGGGGCCTCTGAGGCCCGACTCAGGCGGCACAGGGAGGCGAGGGGGCAGGACACCCGTGTCAGCCCAGTGTGAGTGGCAGTGGGCCAGGGCAGCAGGTCTGTCGCCCCAGAGTTTGGGTGAGGACAGTGAGGAAGGGTGTTAGCTTGTTGGTCAGCCATGGAAGACTCTTCTCTATGAGAGATCCGACTATTTGTGGGACTTCTCAAAGTTAAAGTGAGACTTGAGGTCTGTATCGTCCTCTGCTTTCAGGGTCTACTCAAGTGAGGCGGCTGAGGGCACAGCTCTGGTTCCGAGACACACTGGGGTTGGAATCCCATTCCCCTCGTTGAGCGGTTTTGATGTTGGGAAGCTGACCTACTATAGCCTCCGAGCTTCCATTCGCCAGTCAGTGGGTTGGGGGGCGGCCCCAGCTCATCAGGTCGCAGGGGTCAGGTACGCTTTTGGAGGCGGCGTAGTCGGTGCTCAGCAAACACAAGCCCTCAGCCCGCTCCTGTGGTTGAGGCTGGGTGTGGGGGAGTGACGAGCCAGCAGGGATGCTGACGCATGTCAGCATGTGAGGAGTAGTGTGGCCATTCTGTCCCTGGAGCAGAAGGCTGTGGGAGCAAGGACCCGAGTGTCACGGCCTGCCTGGCAGTCGCACCTTCTGGGCGCATGTCTCCAGCTGGGGATTTGCAGTAATAGCTTGCACACCAGACCCTTTCACGTCTCGCTTGTTTTAATGTTTTGCAGTTTGTCGTTCTTCCAAGCTGTCCATGAGGGCAGTGAAACTTGCATAGGCCTCCCACCCCCAAACCGTCACCCTCCTTTCTAGGTTAGGGATAGGTTTTTGAAATAATTTTATTGTGAAATATAATACACATACAGAGAAATACACTGCTGCTGTTGATTTTTTTTTCCTTTAAGAGCATAAAAAGAAACCTGTTTCTCTTCCGAGTCTGGAGTTGCCTCCAGGCTATAGAAACAAATGACCAATCTGCTTTCTAATTATCAGAGGACACACAGTGACAGCAGGCTTGGATTTTTGATCTAGTGCTGTCAAGTCGGATGGCAGATGCACCAGTTTAAACAAAAAGAAAGCTTGGTGTTCTGGGGAGCCGCCAGCAGTTGTTATATTTCAAATGGCCGTATTCTGCCTTAATGGCTTGGAGATATTTTTCAATTGTGGGCAACAAAGTATAGGAGATTCTAGTGGCAAAACCAACAGCACGCAGGAGCCTGCCTGCCTTTTGAGCTCTCTCTGTTGGTGGAAGCCCTTCTGTTCCATTTTGCATAAAGATCAGATGACAAAATGTAGTTCCTTGCAAAAACAGTAACTGCTTTGAAATTACCATAAATTTTTGTTGATTATGTATAATTGGGTGTCTTTTTAGACTAATTACTTGCATTTAATTTCACTCTCTGTTGAAGCAGTGGAGATGGCTTCCATATTGTCTTACAGTAAGAACCAAAGCAGGACGGCCCAGCACTGCCTTTTTCAGTGTCTGTCTCTGATGTTCTTCAGAGGAGTTGGGACACCAGGGTGTCCTGGGAATTTTCAGAGATGGTGCTTGGAAATGCGTTTTGACCTAGCGCTGGAGCGGTGTTTGTTCGGGGGAAGATGTGAGTTAGCGAACTCTCAGGTGCATTGTTATTCTGCATCGTACCTAGGAAAGTAGACAGATCCTCTTCCCTGCCCCGTGCAGCTATTTTTCTGTTTAGAGGGAGGGGCCCGAAGGCCCAGGGGCAGTGTCAGCCAGTGCTGATGGCTGTCCCTCGAGCCCCCGTCAGTTTAGAGGAGCTTTACCCGGCCTTGCCTCAGTCTTCCCCTTTCTGACGGGGAATAGATTGAAACATAGTCCCAGTTTACTAAGAGTCCAGGGAGGGAAGTAGTTGGAAAGACTGAGAACCTGGACTTGGATTTAAGTTTTCTTAGCTGTTCAGTGACTCTTAAATTATGAAACTGTAAGGTGGGAGACCAGCAAACCTTCTCTTCACCTTGCCCACCATCTGGGAGATGGGAAGAATGTAGTTGGAAGGTGGATTGTGAATAAACTTCAGAAACACACCCAGAACTCCAGGACACAAAGCCGCCCTCTCCAGTCGCCTGATGGCGGAGACGCCGTGGGGGTGAAACACACGGCTGCACACTGTCCTTCGGAAATGGCTTTAGTTAGTGTCCTTTGGTCCGTGTGTAGATATATGAAAATAGTATACATATAGGTGTTTTTTTCCTGGTGGTCAGTCTTGTGGGAATAATATTTTTCACATTCTGCATAAATTACTTTCATAATCAGAAAAAAGATTTAGAGTGTGAATTTAGCTGAAAACTTAATAAATTTAAGAAACCCGAAAAGTGAGTGCTTCTGTGGTCAGGGAGTTGAGCTAAGTGCCGAGAAGGCAAGTGACCAGGATTGCCCTCCATCTTCCACGGGCCACAGACTAATACAACTCAGTGTGACAGACCGGGGACGCGGGAAGGGGCATGTGCTGACGGCCTGCTCGCTGCGCGGCAGTGACCTTGTTGTCTTCTCTCCCTTTGTCCCCTGCTCTGCTCCAGGTACCGCTGGCTCCCCAGCAGGAGAGGAGGGGTCTCGGGATTTGGCGTGCCCCCCGCTAGCATGAGGCGAGCTGCTGATCAGAACGGTGGAGGCGGCAGACACCACTGGGGACAGGGTTTTCGGCTTGGGGACCAGTGAAGGAGTGGCCTCTGGCCTGCCCACCGGCCACTCTGCTCGATGAATCCCCCCGGGGCTGGGTGTGCGTAACACCTGCCTTCCAGCAGACACTGGTGGACCCGACGCACACCGAATGTAGTCTTTCAGTACAAGACGGCACTTTCTAAATGCTGAAGGAAAATATAAGCGTTCCCCACGTTTCCTGATTCTCATTCAAGTCCTTACTGCTATGGAGAACAAATGTCAGAAGTGACTGTATTTGGGCGTCTCCTCTTCCTTTTCCATCCGAATAGTGGGTTTTGGCAGGTGGTTGTCTGCTTTCACCGGCCTGGGCGTCTGGGGTTGGGCCACCAGGCCGTCGTCTGCGGCACTCGTGCCTCTTCCTCGCACACGCCCCCCCCTTTTCTCCAGCCCCAGACTTGCAGTTGGAGGAGGGTGCCCATCAACCGGCTCTGCCTTTGACAAGCTCTCGTGTTTATTGATTTTTGCCAAGGCTTGGTCACAAAAAACTTGTTCAAACCTCTCCTCCCTTGGGTGGCAGAACTGTAGCGATAGGGGAGAAGACCCGGAACAGCGGGCGGAGGGCTTTTTCTCAGCTTTTACTGTCGCTGTGACCCGGTATCACTTGCACCCTCTCGCCACCTCTTCAGAAGTTTCTATTTCAGAAAGTACCACCAGGACAGCAAGGGCTGCCGATTGGTGTCAGTAAGGTGGGAAGGTTGTCGTGAGCCATTTTTTGTCCTGAGTTAAGTGATGGCAACTCTAGTGCATCTCACGCAGATTTAAACTGGTGGGCGTAATCCCTTTGCATCCCATGTGTGAGGCATACTGGCTGGGTGTGCATCCAGAATACAGCCGGATTGTCCTGTGCTGGAAAGTTCCAAATCACATTGGCCACGGGGAGATGCTGTCTTTGAAAGGCCCTTGGGTGTTGATTCCGTTTCATCCTCATTCTGGATATATGTTTATCGAGTAGAGTGGCAGGGAGAACCTTATACCCTATTTAAATTGTCAGCCCCCCCCCCCCAGTGGCCAAATACTTGAGTTAATTGTGAGGAGGGTGCAGCCCCTCCATACGAAGATCCTATTCTAAGAGCTCGTACAAGCACATCTAGGTGAGTCGCATCATTTTGGGTTGTGATGGCTTTAGAATCATTGTGTTTGAGAGGATCGCTTTGAGTCATGAATGTACATTAGACCAGCGTAAATACCCACGACTCCTTTCTTACAGGTGGGCTGTCCCATGAGATCCAGGCTTGTGGCAGAATTACAGTTTCTCATTGGATGTTTTTATCCCGAAAGCAAACTGCTAGGAGCAGTGTTGTGTGGCTGCCATACTTAGCTTAAAAGGCTTTGGACCTTCTGATCAAGTTCCTTTCCAGGAACGCTGTGCACTAACAGGATGGCCGCTCTCTGCCCCACTCCTCGTGATGTGCATTATCCCAGGAAGTGGGGGTGTGAACACAGCTCCTCCTTTTTAATAAAGTTTGTGCGTACTTCGTATTTAACTTATATGGCGAGGTAGGAGGTGGGAAGACCCTGAACCCTACCTGTCAGACATTCTGTTGTCGACCTGTGGCCACAATAAAAGGTACTTGTACATTTCCCTGTTCCGTTGCCTGTGCGCTCATTGTGCAGGAGGGGAGCCTCCGCGTCGGAAACCTGGTGGTGAGTGAGCCGGAGCCTCTTCCAGGCCCTCCTGGCAACGCAGCCACCGAGCACAGAGGTTTTTCTACAGGTCGTTACAGAAGAGGCAAAATGTCCGTTACATTCTTCCTCTTAAACATACTTAGGGAGCTGGTTATTCTATTAATCTTGTCTGGATTACCTATCTCTTGGGAATAATTTTAGCCAAGCAAGCTATTTGAGATTTGATTTGGCAAAGCAAGACACAACAGTGGATTCTCTTTCCGAATGAAAAAAAAAATCTTTATTTTGTATAGAGAAATTTTCTTTTTGTAACTAATCATTTTTATTGGTAAACATTGTAAATTAAAATGTACAACTTGACGATTGTCTGTCACAAGTTTCTGAATTCCCCCACCCCCTCTGAGATTCTGTATCATTTCTGTAACCAGTTATCTCTTGGGCGTTCAGGAGAGCCCAGCGTTCCTTGCCATTGTGGCGACAGTGTTACTTCTGTTCACCTGCTGGAGCAGATCTGCAGGATTCAGTCCTGGAAGCAGAGTTGCTGGGTGTTAGTTTAATGAAGCAGGGTGCTTCGGACCACGGGAGACGGCTGCGGAGCAGAGGACCGATTTTGAGTGGGCTGCTGAGGTGCAGGTGTAAGGCTGGCCGGAACCAGGGCAGCGGGATCGGGGCTGGGGGTGGGCTGGAGAGACCTCCATGGGAGAACTGCTGGGACATAATGAGGAAGAGGAGGGGTTATGCGCAGGGGTTTCCATTGGACATCAGGACTCGATAAAATCTTCCCATAGAAACAGGACCAGTTACTGCTATTTATAGGGATTGTTGGTGCAGCACATTATAAATAATTGGGTGCTGGTGGACCAGCTGGAAAACCTAGTCACTGTGTGTGTGTGTCTGTGGAAAAATACATTATGAACACTAAACTTACGAATTTGAAAATGAACTTCTGGCACACGCTGTCTTCCTGAATTGGGGACAGCTTTGCAGAAGGCCCCAGTGAAAGCGAAACAACTGATTCCCGTTCACTCTGCTTCTGTCCTTCAGGCCCCTCCCAGCTGAAACAGCATTTCATCGTGGAGAGGCCTTCACAGATGTGCAGGTGGGGGGGGGTGTCCCACACGTGGTCCAGGGGCACCCTGATCTCTGGTTTGTGACGCCACACTTACAGTCACTTGTTTAATGTCTGTCCTGTGGTCTTTCGGCATCGTGAGGACGGTGGCGATACCTCACCTACCGGAGTTGCGTTCCCTGTGCGTGGCACAGTGCTGCCCCAGGCAGGTGCCTATCTGTTCGTTGCACTCGGCTGAACCGGGGACTGGGGGATGGGCTGGGGAGGAATTCGGCCAGTGTAGGGAGAGAGCTAATAGCCTGGTCTCCCAGGAGCCTTACAGGATTTTATGTTCATATAGGGGAATCATAGGCTCCTGAAATAAGATACTAGAAGAGATCGGAAGTATTGGAATGGATTAAAAATTGAGATACTTTAAAAAAAGAGAAAAGCTAAGCAGCTTCTGTCTGCAGCGTACAGTTGTCTGCGTGGGTGTGAGTGCTGGGGGCGTTTGGGCGAAGGAGACATGGTGCAGGCTGAAGGCAGGCACGAGCGTTTGGGAAGGATAATTGAAGGGATGAATTCAGCTTTTTCTCCCCCAGGCAATTCCCCTGTGGCCTGTACAAGTGCATGTGCGTCAAGAAATGAGAAGCCCTTGTCACGTCGCCGTCATCCAAGCCAGAACGCCCCACGGGGGGTGCGGAAGTGGGTTTAGGTGCAAGGCTTAAGGATCACTTAGGAACTGTCTGCTGAGCTCGATTTGTCACTCGAAGCCTTAAGCTGACCCAGATGAATTTGATCCTTCTTGCTTCTCTGCCAGTGTGTCGGCCTTTTCCTGAGGGCTTGTGCTGACACGGTGCGTGTCCCTGTTCATTAAGGGCACTCACGGTTAGCTGCGGGGACTGTGGATGTCAATGGAAACTGTCCTGACAGAGAAGCAGTAAACCTGGCTCTTAGGGTGTGAGATGCGTCTGTCCCCAGGGTAGGCCCCTGTCACCTGCAGGTACCCAGACTCTTACTGAAGGGGAAGGATTTCAACTTTCCTTATGCCTTCCATCCGTGGGGTTCTTTTGATTGCTAGTACAGAAAAGGACTGTGGTTAACTTTACCAAAAGGGATTTTATATCGAACACCCCGCAGATCCCAGGGGTCTGTCTGCTGACATGGGAAGGGTCCCCTGGATTCCAGCAGCGGGAGCTGATCCTACCCTGGCTGCTGGGCTAAATTGGCCCCGCCTTAGTGCTCATGTCTTCCCCCTTAGGACTTGAAGCCTGGGGCTTACTGGCCTAGCTCGGACTTGGTGCTTTTCCTTGGCCAGGGCTTCAGGAAACAACATTTGACTGACAGTCCCATTAAAACTACTTGTAATGGGGGAAAGGTCATTTTCCAAAAGCAAATCAAAGTGTTCTTCCTCCCTAAGGAGCAGGAAGTAGATGCTGTGAGCGCCTGTGATACCCTGCAGGCCCAGCAGCACAGGTTCATCTCTCGGGGGGCCGCCCAGAGAGCCTCTGATTTCGCCTCATCCCAGCTCAGGGGCAAAACTGTTTCTTCTTATCTCCTCCCTGAAGCTCATCTGCAGAGCATGAGAAAGCAGTAGATTTTGCTGGAAGATTTTGCGGGGAGAGGCTGGAGAGGTTGGCATTGAACGACATCACAGGGAAAGTGACTCGCCGCACTTGAGAGCAGGGACCACGTCTGTTCGCTGTCATGTCCCCAGCATCTCGCACAAAGCTCAGCTTGCGCAGCCTTCTCGAGCTCAATACTTGCTGAAGGAGTGAATCCATTTCATAACCTAAATTTTCCGGTTATCAACCGCTCCCTGGCTTTCTCTGCATCTTTTCCCCACGTGGCTTTTCTAGTCTCCCCAATGTCTTGGTCGGTATAGCTCTGGCTATAAAAACCCTGCACTCGGCAAAATAAAAGCCCCATAGTTAATCAGACCTTAGAAAGGACTCTCAAAGGTACTCACTAAATACAAAGCACCACTGGACCAGGGAAGCAGGGTACTTCCGCTAAAAAATAAGTTTATCATGGTTATTATTTCAAACATGGTTTCAAATGTTCCATTATTACATACTCTGCAAAATTCTGTTCTCCCCATAATGGGTTGAAGGGTGGCCCCAGAAAGGTAAGTTCGTGTGCTAGTTCCCAGAACCCGGAATGTGGCCTTGTTGGAAAAAGGGTCTTTGCAGAAGCTCTTACGTTAAGGATCTGGAGGTGAGACCATTCTGGATTATGTGGGTGGGCTCCAAGTCCACTGACCAGTGTCCTGTAAGGGGCACGCAGGGGTTATTTGACAGACAAGACGAGAAGACACGGACTCGGGAGAGACGGTGATGTGAACGCGGAATCGGAGATTGGAGCGGTGTGGCCATGCCCCGGAGCCGGAGGACACCTGACGCCCACAGAAGCCGGAAGGGGCGGGGAGCGGAACCTGCCCTGGGCCCGCTGGAGGAGGCGTGGTCTGGCTCGCACCTCGATTTGGGACTTCTGCTCTCCAGAAGAGAAAAAATTTCTATTGTTTTAGGCCATCGAGTCTGTGGTGGTTTGCCAAGCAGCCGTAGGAAAGGAACACACCCCCGAAAGTACTGTAATGACCTCCCAACTGTTTTCTCTCGCTCTCTTACATGGGACATGCTCTTTCTGCTGCTCACACCTGGAACACTCTCAGCTCTCTCTCTGAGCCTAGTGAGGGGTATTGGTTAACCTATTTCTTCACTTCAGGTGAGCCAGTCACACTCTGCCCAGGACACAAAGAAAGGTCGAGCACCACTGTCCCACCCACTGAGGTACCTTGGATGCATCTTTCCTTTAACTCCTGTAAGAGCCTCCCACCCGGTGTCTCTCTGCATCCTAGTTACCCATCTACGACTGTGGACCACTGTCACTGGCAACAAATGGCAAGAAATGGAATTTTGGATTTCTTACTCATATGTAAGCTCAAATGTCCTTTAGGCCAGAGGACCGCTAAAGGATTATCTAGATCAGAGATTCTCAAGTGATTTTGAGATATGGAGCCCTCTGCTCTAATGAAACCTTAAATCTTAATATGTAAAAGACGAGTGAAAGTAATGTAAAGTTGGTCGGGAAGACAGGGCCACACCTGATGTTGTCTTCCCCCACCACCATTTCAGTTCCTTTTGGCCCCTATTAAAAAAAAATCCCTTGAAGTTACCCTGACATATTGTTAAAAATGATTTTTCTAAGCTGGCCGCCTTTCTGGGCTATCGCTAACAGGGGGCAGCGCCTTCCCTAGTCTTTGTTGTTTTTTTAGGGGAACGATAAATCACTCTCCTCCTCCTCAGTTTGGAACCCACTGAGAGAGAACCACCGTTATTAGAGATAAAAATGTTAGCTGTAGTACTGAGACGGGCTGGATGGGAAGACAGACCAGAGGGGTGGAGTCCTCTGGCTGTCCTACATGGAACCCCAGAGTGTGAGACTCCCCTGGTTACTGCACAGGGCGGCATGGGCATCGTCCACGGCTAGAAGTGAACTGTGGGGAAGAGTGAGAAGGCGGCTTCCAGAGCCCCGACTGGCTTCTCAAGGGCTGAGCTCCTCTACCTACTCACCAGCTGTATGTCTGCCCCTTGGGAGAAAAGAGAGTTTGTAGTTTACTTTTCCTTCCTGGGAAATTCCCTCTCCTATGGAAAGGCAAGGGATAAGGAAACATTTCTTCCTAAGAAGGCGTTTTTCTCTGCGAGTGTTGACTTCCATTCCCATGTTCTGCTTGGCGACCCAGGACCCAGATGGCTTCTTTTAGTAGGACATATTGTGTATTCATCAATAGTCAGGTTAGGCATTAGCCATAACAAACCCCCCAAGCCCACTGCATATCATAACAGATACAGTTCTTGTTCAAATCACAGTCCAGTAGGATTGTGGGTAGGCAGGTGGGATGGGGAGGTAAGGGGGGAGTGTGGGGAACGAGGAGGGCTCTGCCCCATGCACTTATTCAGGGACTCGGTCTCCTTTCATTTAGTGCAGCCATTTTAAACTTTGGTTCCATGGGAAGAATGATCAGTCGCTTCTTTATCTCTCAAGACCTCAGCAGCGTCTTCCACTGAGGTCTTTGCAGGTAGTGAACAGATTGAGGAAGAGCAAATGGAGGGTCGTGCAGGAGACTCCAGGGGCCAGGATGAAAGAACCTGCGTCATGCTGGCCAACATCCTATTGGCTGACACTCAGTCATGGGTCCCACCTAACCACAAGGGACGCTCAGAAACATAGATCCTGCCCTGCCGACAGCACAGGAGGCACGTTCACCGAAGTCGAGAGGACTCAGCCTTGTCTCGGCACAGCGTCATATTCA